CACCAATAAACTTTTTCGCATATGGTTCATATTAATGACTTTGAGTTTTTAACTGTTCACCAGCCAATTATTGCTGTCATGATTGAAATTAGTGTTGTGAATCTCGGCCCAACTCGGCCATGTCGATCCGAAAATTGATGAATTGATCATGAAATCGACTCAAGTCAAGTATTGGACTAGTCATTCATCGGACCCGGACAAATCTGGCCAAAATCGATCAAACCCGATGACCCGGTTGGGTCATGTATTTTTATAAATAAAAAAATCGAAACCAAAATTATTTTATCTTGTCAAAAAAAATGTAAACTTCATTTTAAAATTTTTTGTAATTTCATTTGTTAGTAGTATACTCTTCTATAATGACATCAAATTTTAGCTTTCAATACTAAAGCAATTTGCGGAACAATAAATTAAGAGAATATGACATGTCATTTTAATGTAGATGAATATGAAAAATATGAGTTCACAACATCTGACATTTTAAATGTCATTGAGAGGTATGCTTATGGGGATTCTGAGTTGCAATTTAAATTGACATAGTAATAGCGTACATTTTCATTTATTTGTACTTTATCAACTTGTAAAAGTGTGATTGGGTAATGTTTGAGCTTATTTAGCGAACATTGTTTAACTCATTATACGAAGAATATAATTAAATTTATATATTCATATTTATATGTATTTTTATATATCCGAGTTAACCGGTCAGACCAGTGACCCAGTACCTCGACTGGGTCAATGCCCGGGTCGGGTTTAATAACATTGATTGAAACTAATGATCCTATATTTTATTATATATTCTTTTAATACGTCTTTTTTGTTTGGAAGATTCTTTTAATATGTCTCTTCACACAAAGAGCATTTTTAGTATCACTGTCGCATTGAGTATTCAGTGCGACAATCATATTTGCATTATGTATTCTTGGAAATACGTAGTATAAATATTAAAGTTACTTTTCTCTCTATCTCCACGTCAGCTGATAATTTCTGAGGAGAGAAAAAAAAACTTTAATATTTACGCTAAGTATTCCTGAGAATACATTGTGCAAATATGACCGTTGCACGGAACACTCAGTGCGACTGTAATATACTAGATTTTTGCCTTCACACAATAGTCTATTGAACTTAAAAAATAAATAATGTACAAACTCATCTATTTAAATTAAAAACTTTCATAATCTTCAATTATTTATTAATATAATGAGGTGACGATTGAACTTGTGATCAGGTTGCCGCAGAGACTCTGATACCATATAACAAGTCATTTTAATCAAAAAATTAAATTGTTAGATAAAGACACATTGATAATCTTATATTTTATATCATATTTCATCACATGAAAACAACTTCAATAATAAAACGCCTTAAAGAAAATATCAAGTTCCTACAAATCTTGCTATGACACCTGCAATAAGAGTTTTCATATTATTTTCCAATCACCTTCAAACATTACATCTCTAAGACCAATCTCTATTGCCAAATGTATAGCCTCTCTTTTTGGAGTACATCCTTCCTGCCAAATTGGAAATTGAAAAAAAAAGATAAAACAAGAAACAGATTCAAGAAGTTAGAAATATTATATAACTATGACCCGTGACAAGATGGTGTAGGAATATATACTTGGCCAAATAAAAAATTTGTTCATATTAATGACTTTTATTTTTTAACTGTTCACCAACCAATTATTGCTCTAATTGAATATCACTAAAAAAAGTAAGCTTTTAGCAACGGACAAAATTTGTGGCTTGAAAGAGAAAATCTGTTGCAAATACGATCTGCGACAAAATTCTGGTGGTAAATAAAGTCGTTGGAAACGAGATTTACAACGGATTTTGAGCGATCCAAATTCTGTTGCAAATTGCTGTGGATATTTTTCGATGCAAATTGCTATAATTCCCTCGCAATATGCAGGTCTGTCTATAGCGTTGTTCTTTTGTAAAATGCGAAGGAATTTTTGTCTCAAACTTCCACGCAAATTTGCAATGGAAGTAAGTGGATGAAAGGTCATTGCAAATCTGCGTTAGAAGAATAATATTAGTCGGTCGCAAAGTTTGAGTCGGAATACGAAAGCCTAAATCGCCGCAAAACTTGTTTCGAATCAGTAATGTAAAATCGTCACAAATTGCGACGTCTATTAGATTCCCTCGCAATATGGCCACATCATCTGCGACAAAAAATGGAAAAAATTCCATCGCAATTTGACGAATTAGAAATAAAATATTATAATTATTAGGGTTCTTCCTATACACAGCAACCAGTACACAACAACCACTCAAATAAAGAAAAAATATTGAAAAATAAACAATACTGAATAATGTATTAAAAAATATATATCAAGAAATGTATACAATAGCAATCCTAAAAAATTATACATAAAAAAATGAAATATAATTAAAAATTTTGCAAACAAAATGGACTGAAAAGAACTATAATCATAAATAATGTCTATAAAGTAGCAGACTGGTCATCCTCATCATCATCACCTGAAGTCGACCCCTTATTCTTGTTGTTGCCTTCCTCCACCTTCATTAGGGCTGGAGTTATTCATGCATTTGCTTTATCATCTGCGCTTGCTGATTCACTAGCTCGTTCGTAGCATTCAGTTGTGCCTCCAACTGGGAAGTCTTCTCCTAATGTGCATGATCCATACTCTGGACCAATGCCTTTATCCTTTTAAGCTCATCTGCAAATACATCATTAGAAAGCAAGTTAATTTTTTTTACTTAATTTAAATGGACTAGGAAGTGAAAATGTAAAACAATTAAGTGTGTATGGGTATTACATTTACCCGTCGAAGCACCTCCAACCTAGCCAGATGAGCGCTTGATAGGCTTTAGTTGGCTGCCATAATAACCCACATTGCCAAGTTTATAAGAAATCAAGTAAGTATTCAAGAAAATTATGACAAGTAATGACAAGTTAATCATTGAAATGACATGATAAAATGAACAAGGATACAATTCATGCCAAACAAGTCAAATATGACCCAAAGGAAATTTTTAAAAAGAATATGGGTCAAAGTTTAAATATAGGAAAGTTTGGGGACCATTTTGCAGATAGGCAAAACTTGGCCTAAACTTGATTTTGATGATATAATTAAATTATTTAGAGAAAATGGAGAGTTTAATGTAATATTGGTTTCTTCTAATTATGATTATAAAAATATAATAAATAAGGTCAAAGTTGGAGAATATATCAACCAATTAGAAGCTTTATAAGTCTAAAATTGTTGAGTTTGTTTTAATTAGTTAGTGAGTCTATAAGATGTCTTCTTCCTCCATTTTTTCATGAACCAACTTCAGCCTCCTTTGCCCATGAAAACCGAACAGCCATTGAAGACATATGGAAGCTTAGAACTTCATCGTCATAAAACCTTAGGCATCTTTCATGAAAAATGACCCTTGAAGCCTAAGGAACAAAATCCTAAGCTTTGTTTCTCCTAAGAAGCTCTCAATCTCTTGTTTTCTTCCCATTTATCTTCGACCTACATGTTTGTATTGGAGCAAGAATGGCTTGTTTTGATGCTTTAAAGGTGGGAGATTGATCTTTAGGTCATTGGGAGCTTGAATAAGGTAAGAAACTTTAGTTTTAATGGATGGATTTCAAGTTTTGATTTAGGATTTTGACGAACATGGCTGAATTATAATGTTATGATATCATGTGTTTATGATGTGTTTTCATATGGATTAATGTCCTTTGGTGTCAATGGAGTTGATTTAACCATGTTTGAACCATTGGAAGCATGAAAAACTATAAGAACTCCTAGGTACCAATTTCGGTCATCATGCTTATAAGGTGTTTGATGTTTGATCTATGATATCTAAGTTTGTTTAATACTTCATAGGATATGTTAAAGATGATTGGATCAAGCATTGGTGGTTGAAAAACAAGTTAAGATCATGATCCTTTGAAATGTATATTTAGGCCATGCCTTAGTTTTGATGATTATGAACTTGGTTTCATTTCAAGATAATGACGTTAACACTCACATGAAGTATTCATGTTGATTAAGTCATTTGGTTTATGCAAGAAAGCAATAAAACTTGGTGAGTTTTCATGTATTGGTTCTGTCCATAACAAAGAAAAATGACCTATGATATAAGTTAAATTCAAGTGAATGTTTTGAATCAACTATAAAGTAAAATCAAGTATGTTTCAAGTAGGTTTAAGGTTTGAGAACCTAGTTTGACTTAATATCCATGTTTAGGTCATTTTATGTGAGAAATTATAGAAACATGATGTAATTTGGTAAAACTTGTTATATGGCATGAATTGGCAATATAAGGTGTTTGGAATAATCATGTGAACTATAACACCTCACAATTTTAAATTAAGTGTTTAAACTATTAAGTGTGTAATTAAGTGGAGATTCAGTGAAAATCCTAAAGATTAGGCCAAAATCCAAAGAAAGGGCAAAACGGTAATTAGCCAACACGCAACCCTAGGAAGATAAAAATTGAGTAGAAGGTCTCAGATGATAGAAATAACCCTGGAAATGGATTCAGAAAGAAAAATTGAGTGGACAGGCAAGTTTCAGAAAAATCAGTGAATAATGTTTTTTGCGGGTAAAAATATCGCGGTACGATTGCACCGTAAAATGTGCCAGTTGAGTTTTGAGCTCTAGGTTTCAAATATGAGTTATAAATGGTCTATAGAACTAGGAAATATGATTTCTGATAATATTTGATAGAATTAAGTCAGTTTGCGGAAGCGTGCCAACGGCGCGCGCAACAGCTTAAAACAATATTTTCTCCGAACGACCGGAAAACTCCGGATTCATCTGATCAAGTATAATTAAAGGACTTTAGTGAATGTTTAATTTTTAATTTTATAAATAGGTTGTGAAATAATCGAAGACTAGTGGTGAGATTAAGTGAGTTTAAGTGAGTTTTGAGTGAGGTGGCACTTGTGGGACCCACCCCCACTTAAATGACCATTTAAGCACATGTGGAAATCAGAATTTGGAACTCATCCCCTTCATTTTTTCAGCTGCAAATTCGTGGGTCTCCATGGTTAGGGTTTTGAAAACTTCAAACAATTGTAACTTGAGTTCTAGGCCACCAAATTGAGTGGTTCCAAAGCCTAACTCACTTAAAATTTTGCAAGGAATCCATTTTTGTCCTTATTTTTGAGTTTGGTGCGGTGTAGAGGGAGATACTGCCCATTTTCAATTGCGAAATATTGAAGTATTTTGGGGATTTTGGTGGATTGGAAGCTCACTTTGGTTCATTGGTTGCTTGAAGATCATTCCCTTGGACCCTAGGAGTTGTTTTGTGGTGAGTTTCTCCAATTTTCATTGAGTTTTTATTTGGATTGAATTTGTGGCATAGAGTGGGTTGTTTGGATTGATGTAGTTAGAGAGCTCAAATTGAAATTTTGTATTAGACAAATGTGGCTTAGAATGATGTTTTAAAGTGATTTATGTCATAAAAATTATTGAGGAAAAAATGATTTAACTTAGGCAAATTTTGTGTTCATGAGCAAGACTTTATGAATTGGAATTTTGGTGTGATGAGATAATTGAGTTGTGGAGTAATTGTATGAGTTAATAGTAAGATTGTATGATGTATGGAGTTATTTAATTGAATTGGATACCTTTGGTATGATGACTTGATGAATTCGGCCATTAAGTGAAAAATGAGGAATTGATGTTAAAAAATTCTTTGGATGATGATTTGTGTAGTTATATGGTACTTAGATGGGTTGTGTGGTGATTGGAAAGTGTTAGAATCAATGGAAAAATAATAACTTGTGTTAGGGACCTAAATGAACCTAGAGTGAATTATTACGCAAAACGATGAGTAAAAGACGTAAAACGTAAAAACGGCACTTGAATTGGCCTCTTGGCAACCTAATGAAGCATAATAAAATGAGAAAGAAAATTTAGAAAAATAAATCTCAATTTAACACTCATTTGGCCGAACCATCAAGGGAGGATGGAGGGATTTTGTGATTTTTGCGTTTTGACGTTATTTAACGCGTACTGATGGCTGTACGTGATTGTATAGGTTGCCGTACGTCGACTTGAATCCTGAATCATAAATCAGTGAGTTGCCCTTGGTCCTGGACCAACGGTAGGAAGTGTATATGCGTAGTGTAGAACACATGAGCATGCATGCATTATTACAGTGGGTACTTATGTACCGAGTCTCTGGCCAGTAGACAGTTTTTCTTAGCCTTCGGGCAGTTTCAGACTTCCACTGGATAGGTCTCCGAGAGGGAGTTCCAGTTGACCGTGGGTCATGGTGTGTGATCCGGATAGGAGCACACTAGGAATGTCTCTGGCATTTTGGATGGTTGGGGCATCATGGTTGTGGTTTTTGGAACGCACCTTGGATGATACCCATAGGCTTATATATGCCCAGGGCGTACGTGGTATTGGTAGCTACCATCCCGTATCGTCGTAGTTTGTATCTCTATATTCCCCATTTCTCTAAAACTCTTGCTATATCCCGTTTTTAAAAATTGGTTGTTGTATTCTATTCATATGCATCGAAGTGAACCATTGGGCAGAGTTTTCTCCAGAACCTCTGGGTTACTGAGATATATTCGTATATCTCACCCCGTCTCGGGGCATTTATTTCAGGATGTACCTGTGGCGTTGGAGCAGTGGGCAAGAGGCCCGCAGAGTGATAGAGGAGCATTTTCAGTATTTGACATATTGTTCATGTTGGCATGCCTAAGTCTAGTAGTTTGTATCATTTGAATTTATGTTTAAATTTGTAATTGGAGTTGTAATATTGTAAAAGGTAATTTGAAGTTGAAGTCGTAAGTTGTAATATTTAAGTATATGTTGTAAATGTAAAAGAGATGCATGATGTACTAAGATGGAAGGATTTTAGGCCTATGTTAGAGTTATGATTATATGCTTATATTGTGAAACTACATGTAAATGGGACCTTTGTGATTGAAACAAGCAAGGATTATAATGTGAGTTATATAGTATAAACTGTGTAATAAATATAAACTGGATTGGGTTGTAAGTGCCCCAAGGCGTTGTTGGTCCTTGTGTGTGCCACCCATTGGATTATTACTGTATTATTGTTGGATTATTAGGTACTTTGAGGTGTTAGTGAGCTTGTACAAATTTGGGGATTATTGGAAAAACAAAGGAAACTCTGGCGAATTTTCTGTAGAATTGGCAGATTTTAGGCGAACTTCGGGAGAGCATATCTCCCTCTATAAAGGTCCAATAGGGACATGCCATACGCCATTTTGAAGCTTGAGATGTCCCCTATATGGTGTTAAAATATGAGCCAGTTCTGGGTTGTACGAAGCCCTGTGGAATTTATTGAGTTCGGACTGTCCAGGGACCTCTGATGCAGGGGCTGTTCTGGCCAGTTTTTGGGAAATTAATTCCTGCTTCGTTCCTCAGTCAAATTAAACGTATGATATATCAAATCGAAGATTGAGGGGTCTAGTTTATGGTGTAAAAATTTGAGAGCAATTGGATGAGTGGATTTAGTGCAGTAATTCGTGGAGTGAGAGAGGTTTAGAGCTGTTTTGGGGTTGGTTGGCTATTTCGCTTATCCAACTTCAAACAGCGATAACCGGAGCAAATGAGCTCTGAATTGAGCATATGATAGCTTGTTGAAAAGGGAATTAAGTAAGACAAAGATATAACTTGAGAAGGAAGTCTGGTTGTGAGCGGTGTGTTCGCAGAAAATTTAGGAGTGAACCATGTTCGAATAGGTAAAAACGTAAAGTTTGGTAATTGGCTAAGTGGGTTTATGGGAACCCCTTAGTAACTTATAATAAGTATATTGTGATGTAAAAATAGATAAAATAAATATTCCGCAAGAGTTAACAGTTATAGTCACAGCTTTTAATTATTACGCGTTTTATTGTTTTAAATGCTCGTGTAATAATCGGAAAAAGTTTATTCGTATTTTTATAAATAAATTGTTGTGATTGTAACTGCGCTTAATATCATAATTAATGTTAACAATACCGGTACGTAACGGGCTGTTACATGAACCACCATGAAGCTAATTTCGAAATTTACATGTAAACATGCTGATTTCTTCAATTTCTAGTAACATGTATTTGGTGGTTAATGATACTTTTGTTCATGGCATTATTAGGAATCGAGTGATTTAGTCTTGTAAGATCAAGTTACAAGTAAGCAAGTATTGGAAAACCTAGTTCTTGTTCATCAAAGAATAGGATAAGTATATGAAATTATGATTTATTTAGTATTTTGACCATTGGGTCTTTATATGATTCGTGATTTGATTTATGATTTCAATATCCTATGTGAAATAGGTGTTTTGGAGCACAAGTCAAGTAAAGGCTATTTTGGATAACTTCTTGGATTTCAAGTTATTTTGCAAGGAAAGCTTTTGACAAGTAAGCTTTTGGTTTAGCAGTTTTCTACTAGTTTGTTTGTTCCACCATAGTCCATTGGGATGATGGTTTGGATGTTTGTATGATTGGCCATGTTAGATACTTAGTATATTGCATTTCATGTAGACAAGTCTGTAAGATGATATGATGTTTGATTCAAGTACTCAAGGATACAAGATGTTCTGATATGTTTGTTTGATTCAAGTATCCAAGTATACAAGATGTTATAATGTGATTTGTTTGATTCAAGTAGACAGGTATACAAGATATTGTGATGTGATTCATTTGATGCATGATTCGTCTGATTCAAGTTTCATGACCATTGAAAATTACAAGTATGTACTTTCATTGAGGGACAAAAGCATCGAAAGTGCATGATACTTTCCATATGAGGGACTCAAGCCTCAAAAATATCCAAATTACAAGTATGTGCTTCCATTGAGGGACATGAACCTCGGAAGTATAAGGTATTTTCCATATGAGGGACACAAGCCTTGGAAGTATCTGAATTACAAGATTTCATATTTTTTGATGAATTACAAGATTCTATATTGTTTGATGAATTGCAAGTTTGATACTTTCTATATGAGGGACACAAGAATCGGGAGTATATGATCCTTAGGGACCAAGCCTTTGGATCACTTTGTCAGATTATTATGTAATTCGTAAGGCATTTGATTTGAAGATAACATTATGTATTATATACTCTGCATTTGAACTTTCATGCAGGAAGTGAACTCTTGGATGAAGACTGTAACAGCCCGTTGTACACCGGTAATGTTAACATTAATTATGATATTAAGCGCAGTTACAATCACAGCAATTCATTCGTAAAAATGCGAATAAACTTTTTCCGATTATTACGCGAGCATTTAAAACTATAAAAAGCGTAATAATAAAAAGCTGTGACCATAACTGTAAAATCTTGCGGAATACTTATTTAAACTATTTTTATGTCTTAATTTACTTATTATAAGTTACTAAGGGGTTCCCATAAATCCACTTAGCCAATTTCTCAACTTTACGTTTTTACCTTTCCGAACATGGTTCACTAATTAATTTTCTGCAAACACACCGCTTAAAACCAGACTTTCCTCTCGGGTTATATATTTTTCTTACTTAATTCACTTTCTAAAAAGCTATCACAAGCTTTAATCGGAGCTCGTTTGCTCTGGTTATCGCCGTTTGAAGTTGGATAAGCAAAGCAGCCAACCAACCCCAAAAAAGCTCAAAACCTCTCTCACTCCACGAATTTCTTCAGAAAATCCACTCATCAAATTGTTCTCATATTTTTATGATACAAACTAGATACCTCAAACTTCAATTTGATATATCATACTCTTAATTTGACTGAGAAACGAAGCGGAAATTAATTTCTCAAAAACTGCCAGAAACAGCCCCTGCATAAGGGGGTTCTGAACAGTCTGTGTTCAATGACTACTACAGGACTTCGTGAATACCATAATTTTCTTATATTTTAACACCATGTAGGGGACATCTCAAGATTTAAAATGGCGTATGGGACGTCCCTATCGGACCTCTGTGGAGGGAGATATGATCTCCCAAAGTTCGTCTAAAATCTGCCAATTCTATCGAAAATTCGCCAGAGTTTCCTTTGTTTTTTTTTTAAAATCCCCAAATTTGCATAAGCTCTCTAGTACCTCAATGTACCTAATAATCCAATGGGTGGCACACACAAGGACCAACAATGTCTTGGGGCACTTACAACCCAACTCAGTTTACATTTATTACACAATATAACTCACTTTGTAATTCTTAACTTGTTTCAATCATCAAGTCCATTTTCATGCAATTTCCACATACAATTAATCATAAACCTAAAACAGGCCTAAAGCCCTTCCATCATAGTATATCATGCATCTCTGGTACATTTACAAATTACAACTTACAACTTACAATTCCATGCTTTAATTTACAACTTGAAACATAAAACTCAAATGACATAAACAACTAAACTTAGGCAAAATGACATGAACAATATGGCTATGAGACTCATCCTACATACATATGAGATTTTCATGCCCTAAGTCTAGCCTAGGCCACATGGCCAACAAAATGCAATAACAACAGAGCTCCACTAATCACCCTGCGGGCTTCTTGCCCGCCACTCCAACGCCACTGCTACATCCTGAAATAAATGCCCCCAAGACGGGGTGAGATATACGGATATATCCCAGTAACCCAGAGGTTCTGGAGAAAACTCCGCCCAATGGTTCACTTCGATGCATATAAATAATATAAAACAACCACTTTCAAAACGGGATAAAGCAATGGATTTAGAGAAACTGGGGAATATCAGGATATAAAATACGACGAAGCTGGAATGGTAGCTACCAATACCAAGCAACGTCCTCGGCATATAAGCCTATGGGTCTCATCCAAGGTGTGTTCCAAGAACCACAACCAAGGTACCCCTTCCATCCATATACACCCGAGACTTCCTAGTGTGCTCCTATCCGGATGACACACCACGACCCTAGGTCAACTGGAACTCCCTCTCGGAGACCTATCCAGTGGAAGTCTGCACTGCCCGAAGGCTACACTGTCTATTGGCCAGAGACTCGGTACATAAGTACCCTCATAAATGCTACATGCATGCTCATGCTGTTCTACACTACTCATATACATTTCCTACCAATACCATCAACTGGCATGGTGGAACACACAAGGGGAACAAGCCCCAGTACCAAGAGATTACCTCAATATGTTCTTTCACTTAGCTCCACAGCAGCTTGTTTTCCAAACTTGTTATTCAACAGGACGCCTACACGGAGGACATTCCCAATTACTCAAAACTCATACAACACATGCCAATTTACCATTATACATGCATTGATCTAACCACTTACCTCAATCCACTTGGTCCAGGACCAAGGGCAATCCACCGACTCACGGTTCGGGGTTCAAGTCGACGTACGGCAACCTACAATATCCATTAACGTATCGTCAGTACACGGCAAATCCATCAAAACGCGAAAACGTCAAATTTTCACTCCTACACTAGGTAGGTTTGGCCTTCTAAGGCATTTTTTAAAATTTATTTTTCTAAATTTTCTTTCTCATTTTATTATACACTCTTAGGTTGTCACAAGGCTAATTCAAGTGCCATTTTTTCGTTTTACGTCTTTTAACCATCGTTTTGCTTAATAATTCACTCTAGGTTCCTTTTAACCATTTAACACCATCAATATTTTTCCTTTGGTTTTTCAACCATCCAACCACCACACAACCCATCTAACCACCATTTAATTACACAACATCTCATCCAATTGATTTTTCCAACACAATTCCTCATTTTTCCCTAATATGATCGAATTGGTACTTATAGAATTCCAAGAGATTTCATTCAATTTTCAACCCTTCTACACTTCACACAACACCATTACATCAACATATAATCATCCAACAACTCACCAATAACATCTTAACACAATTTCCAAAATCCAAGTCATAACACCTCAAAAATATTCCAAGCTACAAAATCATATTTTTCACCTAAAATTTTCATTACATTTATAACTAATACACATTATTCTAAGACACTTTCATGTACAAACTTTTCCCAATTGAGCTCTCTAACATCACACATCAAAATTTCAAGGTTTAGGGTTCATGAAATAAACTACAATCAAACCATGTAAATGGGGTGGAAATATACTCACAACCAAGGCTTGATGCTACCCCAAGACTTATCCAAGCAATGGAAGCTCAAATGACTCCATGAACCTCAAATTCCTCCAAAAATTCGCAGCTGTAAAAGGGCAATAACTCACCAAAGAGAGGGTTTCAAGGGAAACTAATTGGTGGAACGGGTTTGGATGATCGTTTCCATCAAATTTCAGGACAAAAATCGTTCGATTCGGTTTAGGATTGATGAAGTTATGAAAGGAAGAAAATTTGAATTCAAATGGTCCAAGGGAGGGGGCTGCTGAGTTTTTGGAAGAATGAGGGGAGAGAGAAGATGATGAATAGTCATATGGTGAGGTGGCTTAAGTGACTTTCAAGTGGGGTGGGTCCCACCGCCACCTCACGCGATTTCAACTAACTTAAATTTTCCATCCGATGCCACTAAACGTCTGTAAATTCATAACCTATTTAGAAACTCAAATTTTTAACATTAACCATTGCCCTTTAATTATACTTGATCAGATGAATCCTGAGTTTTCCGGTCGTTCAGAGAAAACACTGTTTTAAGCTATTGCGCGTGCCGTTGGCACGCTTCCCCAAACTGACTTAATTCCATCAAATATTATCAGAAATAATATTTTCTAGTTCTATAGACCATTTATAACTCATATTTGAAACCTAGAGCTCAAAACTCAACTGGCACGTTTTACGGTGCAATCGTACCGCGGTATTTTGACCCGATAAAAACGTTATTCACTGATTTTTCTGAAACTTCCCTATTCACTCAATTTTTCGTTCTGAATCCATTTCCAGGGTTATTTTTACCATTTGAGACCTTATACTCAATTTTTTATCTTCCTAGGGTTGCGTGTTTGCTAATTACCGTTTTGCCATTTCTTTGTATTTTGGCCTAATCTTCAGGATTTTTCACTAATCCTGCACTTAATTAATCACTTAATATTTTAATACTTAATTTAGAATTGTTAGGTGTTATAAAGACTGCTCTATAAACCCAGAGTTTACTGAGATGGTTAATATCACCTTAATTGGGGATATATATTTCGAGTATCCTAGTAGTAGTAGGAGAGCCTTCCCGAGGCAAGAGGCCAGTACAAGGCTAGAGGACTCAACTGTAGTGGACTTTAGTTATTCAGCCTATACATGGCACAAAGTCATATGTGTGTGTGTGTGTGTGTTTTGTAGAGCTTGACATATATGTTCATGCACAAGTACAGTTGGATTTATATTTTGAGAGACATACATGTGTATTTGATTTATACAGACTATATTTAAGGCATGTGTAGCCTTATGTCATGATAAACTTTTGATGTTGATATAAATGTGGACATGTACATGATATGTTAGATGAAATCAGTAATGGCATGGAGCCATATTCTAGTATATACATTTGGATTGGACTATCTGAGTTTCAGGTACAAGATATGACAGTGGGATTTTATCCCTGGTTAGTCCAATTTTCAACTTTATGTTGTCTCATAGACTCTATCCAGAATGGTAAAAGATATTTGGATAGTCATTGACTATTAAGAATGGTCACATGGATTCAAGTAAGGATTCTGTATAGGTATTAGATTGTACAGTTTAAGAGAATACAAGAAAGATGTTAAGGATGGCAATACATAAGGATAAATAAAAGGAAAAAGTTAAGTCACGATGTTACGTAGTGTGACAGACTGACAGTGATGTTTCTGATTAAGTATTCCATTATTTTG